TAGATGTAGTGCTTCCAGGAATCCAAATGATTGTCTAAGCAAAGCTTGGAATGCTAGGTAGTGAAAGGGCAATGCTTGTCAGCATGCTGACGGTCCCCATATGTACATGTACGCAGGTGGAACATTTGTTGGCAGATTTTGAAGGCACATGTAGTGAGATAGCTGTTTAGTACAAGTTTGCTTACAAATAATTTCCAGAGGAATTGTGAAATGCTGTCAGACTTGTGCTGCATGTAGGTGAAAACGCAGTCTAGGAGCTTCAGTTATATCCATATTTATTCAGCTGGCTATATTTAGAAGATAGCCACAATTGCTTTTGGACAAAGTCCCTCAGCAAGATGCAAAGGACCAGTTCTAAGTTCAATACACTGATGGTTTCAGCTTTCATTTTACTGTGCTTTATTTATTACATGTCAATATACTAAGTTAATGTGATAACGTTGCCTTCATTACATAGAATCTTACCCATGTTTGTAACTTCTGCTTTAATAAATAGTAATTTAAAAGAAAATAATTGTAATTGTTCATGGTAGATAGGTGTCCCCCAGTGTTCAATACTGGCGATTCCTACAGACTTCTAAGCCAGCTTTTACCAGTCTTCTCTGTTCACATGTTCAGATGTTGAGTGCCTTTTCAGGGTCATAAATGACAAATGGTTGCTACTCAAAGTACTGTTGATCTATTACTTTCATGTAAAAAGATCTTATTTTCTTGACAGAACTATTTTCTGACTATTTTGGAGAACATTTATGCCCCTCTTAAGTCTCCTTTTTAGTATTTTATACAGTGATAATGAAGATCAACTACTGTGTGTGTTGACTGTGTAAAATGCTTCAGTTGCACTGATACGACATACCAAGGGTGTTTTTTCTCTATGCAGTATTTGCAGATTAAAGATGACAAAACTTGCCCCTCTGTCAATCTATAGGCAGTTCTGTGTGTGTAAGTACCCATTTCCCATGAGACAGGCCTTTTGAAATATTTATTTTTATTAATCTGGGGGAGTAGGAATTAAAGATTTCCTTCAGTGTAAATTCCCAGTGTTTTATCAACGTGTTGTCACAATATTCAATAACAAATAAATACACCAGTTCTGTAACTGCTTCTTGCATTCACCTATATTTATTGAAACTGATAAAGCAAATCCTCTATCTCCAAGGCCTCATTCTGTGTAAAACATTATTAGTAAATAAAATACGTGTGCACTTTAAAATGTAAGACATCATTGTAATCTTCGTACTGAAACAGAACTTTTGTGTTTCCTGTTTGCTTACAGGTGGCATTATTTAGAACCTGTTTTCAGGTGGTTTAATATTAATTTCTTATTTTTCCTATTGACACACTTAATTTGAGCTCCATCCTTTCATACACTGGCCTGTTGAGTATAATTTTGATGATTATCCTGAAGGCTAATCTTTAAAGATACATATCGCAGTTGGCTTTCGAACTTTAAAAATACATAGCTCTGTAGATTAAATTTCAATAGTCCTAAAAATAAATGTCACATCTCAAGTACCAAAGTTACAGAATGTCTAGACAATTAGAACACTGAATAGCTGAAAAGATACATTAAAAGCAGCATTTGTGTAGTTCAGCA